GGACCGTAGCTTTTGCACCTTTGTTTTCTCTGCTTCCTTTCCCTATTTAGGCCAAGCAAAGTGTCTGTCCCGTAAGAGATGATCAACGAATATTTTTGAAAGAAATTGGTCAACTAGCTGGGTGTGGTGGTGGCTTGGGAAGCTGAGGCAGGAGGATCGAAAGTTCAGTGCCAACCTCAGCAAAAGCAAGGGGCTAAGCAACTCAGTGAGACCCTGCCTCTAAATAAAATAAATAGGGCTGAGGATGTGGCTCAGTGGTCGAGTGCCCCTGAGTTCAATCCCTAGTACCCCCCACCCCAAAAAAGGGATTGGTTAGTTAATGTTTACAACAACAATGGCAATGAGTTTAGCTCATTGAAAACCAAACCTTTCTCTTCCTCCAGCCAGTAGTAAATTCAGCTTGAAATAGATAGGGAAATGGCTGTTTTCTCCTGCCTGCACAGCTGAGGCTCAGAGGCAGGTGGCTTCAGGAGGAAAGTTATCTGAGGATGGCGATGGATGCAAACTTCAGACTGACAGCTGCTCATCTTTGCTCTAGTTGATTTCCCGCCTTTGCAGACGGTTATTGGCAATTGAAACTGCACATCTCCTATCTGCTCCCCTATGTAAATTGCATTTACATTTAAATTGTGCATTCTTCCAAAGGCTGGGGTTAGTAAATAACTGGCAGATTAAACTTGAGGAGAGGAAATTGTGCCCCACATCAAACCTGAGACTGAAGTGACATCTGGCTTTTTACTATTTCTGCTATTTCGGTTTAATAACAGCATGTGGCATTAAGGGAAGAGAAATTGGATCTACATTTTAATGAAAGGAGGAAGCTCTCAGGATTTAGATACCTTATCATGTTGAATACCTAGTCAATTGGCAATTAAAAACTTGCTTCCCTCCAGAAATGGAAGGCAATGTCTTTGCAGCTATGAAGAGAATTAAAAACAAAACAAAACAAAAAAAAAAAAAAAACAACCACAAGCTAATGCCCAGAACTACACAGAACTACAGAGAGAAAACTGAGGGAAATGTTGCAAACATTGAGGCCAAATATTTCAGGATTCCACAGCATATGGGAATTCTTAAATGGCATAGTGCTAACMAAAGAATCGTGGATATGCATGAGATGGATCTTCAGGAGAACAATTTCAGGTGGCATAGTTTGTACATCATAGGGGGCTCAACCCATAGATGCTGGTTGAGAGCATCTGGCTTAATCCTTTCTCATGGTGGCTTGTTTTAACCCCAGAGGTTTGACCAAGAAAACATTGTAGAAATGTCTGTTTCATTCCAACAGTCTCACTGTCTAAAATGGAAGCGGTTCCACCTGCTGGCTGCTCTTTTGTTGAAAGCAATTCTGGGAAATGTAAACAAAATGCTTGTGCATCCTAATAACCCAAGCCTATCATTTATTTGCTTTGATTGAAACAAATGTGTCAATTTTCCAAGTCTTTGTTTGGTGAATGCCATGTTTGGATGTTGGTAAATGTTTGCATTGCGTGTTTGTTGGGAAATTGATGCTCTATTCAGAAAGTTTGGAGCCACAGCCTGGGAGCACTCAGTGCATCTCAAGATGCTTAGCTCTTTCCCAGGGTCGGAGAAGGGCTGAAGTTATAGAGACCCATGAGCATGTGTAAATGGGATGGAGCCTCCTGGGGAAGAGATGAGAGGCAGAAAATTTCTGAGGTTGGGGCTCATGAATAATTAAAATAATTGAAAATATTTAAACAGTGGGTGCCATGTGCTCACACTTTCTATGATTATATAACACACTGAATCCTCAGGACAGCCCTGGGAGGAGGTACCATTGTTACCCCATTACAGATGAAGAGACACAGTAGGCTCAGTGATTGCCTAATCCTGTACCACCCTGCTGGTGATGGAGCTGGGATTTGACTCTAGGCCGCCTGGCTCCACTGTTCCCTTCAATCTTTGCAGACAGTTCCCTCCTTTTCCTGATATTTAATCAACGCATCATGTTTTCTCACAGTTACATTTTGTCTTCCATAATTGTTTTTAAAATTGCAGCAGTCTTTCCTGAAAGACTCAAGCCAGGAGTCTGACAGATCTTTCCTTAAACAGATCTTCCCTTGAGCTAAATAAAGCAACAACAAGAGCCTTTGGGACTGGAGATGTAGCTCAGTGGTGGAGCACTTGCCTAGCATGGTTGAGGCCCTGGGTTCAAAGGCTTTTGTAATGCGGGTTGAGAATATCTGTCTCAGACTACCCCCACTTTCCCCTTCCCATCCTATACTGGGGATTGAACCCAGGGACTCAATACCGCTGAGCTGCACCCCCAGCCTTTTTTTTTTTAGTTGTAGTTAGACACAATACCTTTATTTTATTTATTTTTATGTTGTGCTGAGGATCAAGCCCAGGGCCTCGCACATGCTAGGCGAGCGCTCTATCACTGAGCCACAACCCCAGCCCAACCCCCAGCTTTTTTGTATTTTAAAGTTTTCTTTTGAGACAGGGATTCCCTAAATTGCTCACTAAGGCTGGCCTTGAACTTGCAATCCTCCTGCCTCAGCCTCCCTGGTTCAAGGTATGCACCACTGTGCTCAATTCAGCTGACTTATGGGAGTATCTGGTAGATGAAATGGATTTGAAAGTTCTTTTTAAATTTTATTTTTATTTATTTGCTTGAGTTGAACCCAGGAGCTTGGGCATGCCAGGCAAACGCTCTATCACTGAGCTACAGCTACAGCCCCGTAAAATGCTTTGGAAAAGACCCAAATCATTAGACTTCTGCAGTGTATGAATTATTTGTCTATACTCCATCCTCCTCCTCCTCCTCCTCCTCCTTCTTCTTCTTCTTCTTATTACTATTAACGGTTTTTAGAACTGAACCCAAGGCTTCACCCATGTTAGGCAAGCGCTGCATCAGTGAGCTATCTCCCCAATGCTTTTATTTTGCAATAAGGTCTCAGTAAATTGCCTAGTCTGATCTGGAATTTGAGATCCTCTTGCCTCAGCTTCCAGAGTAGCTGAGATTACAGGCAAGAGCCCCTGTACCCTGCTCTCACTCTGCTTTCCCATGCTGGGGATGAAACCCAGGACCTGGCACATACATGCTAGATAAGCACTCTACCAGGGAACCATGCCCCCAGCCCTCTCATTTCCTTTACTGAACAATTCTTAACAATCTAGTATAGCTTTCTCTCACTTCTCTATTTTATCTAGAGTATATGGCCATATTACCATCTACTACTGTGGATCTTTTGATCGTGGCCCATCACAGGAATTTATTTGATTTCTCTTCTTTCTTCCCAGTTCTCTTGGCACCATTTGGCTTGGTAACAGCTCCTTACTTCCTATGCATAATGATAACTACTCTGCATCTCTTGACATTTTATCATGGCAGCCTGCCTGTGAAGTCGACCAGTGCCTCCTTCTGTTTGAACTCGGGTTCAATTAATCATCTGATTTACACATTAATCTGTTGCTATGGGGGTTACTGATGTCACACTGTCAGTATTATGATTACCATAATATCTAATAGGCAAAGAGGGAGGGGTTTCCAGTAGAAACTCTAGGGAGAAACTCCCCCAGCTTCAGTCACCAGTCCAACTGCCTAGGCTTTAGATAACCATGTGAAGGGGTAAGTGGATTAATCGTCTGCTCGGATTTCATTTGAATATTTTTCTTCCATATGTGCGTTCCCTCTAGGCAATTGTCTAGTGTCACTTGAAATTGATGAGGTCTCTTTTGGAGGTTATTTTTGGGAAGCTGGGGGAAACAACAGACAGCTGTTCTTGGGAACAAATGTCACAGGATCTGCCTCAGCTAGCCTCCAGTATTAAAAAAAAAAAAAAGAAGAATCTAAGATGCTGAAGTGCGGTGCCCTTTTACTTCCTAGTGTTAGGTTGTTTTTTTACGGGTTCAGAAGTGCTAACTCAGTTTCCCCAACACATAGAAAAGGAAGAAACTTAACCTGTACCAAGTACCTACTATGCATGAGAAAAAGAAACATGGCTTTAAAGTGGAGAACTGTCCCACTAGGTGTTCCTACGTACGTAACAATTCACCCCTTTTTCTAGCTTGTATATGATGGTCTTCCTAATTGGACAATGATTGATCACCAATAAAAGCAAAGTCATTACTTAAAATGGGTCTAGATCCTCTATGCTGAGTAATTATCTTTCGGTCGTTTTCACTGCAATATTAAAAAGTCTTGAAACATGATAGAAATGAGGTACAACCAATAAACTCCCGAATGAAAACATCTCTGTTAAAAGACTTGACTAATGGGCCTGTCGTTTTCCGGATTTTGTTAAGTAGGTGGAAGGGTCAGGGTTTTTTTTGGGGGGGAATCAAGAGATCACTGGAATAAAACTGATCGAATGTGGGGCTGTGCAGTTTGGGAAAGCCATATCATGGCTTTTATAAATCTATATAAATCAATTTGGGTGCCAGAGAATGAATAGTTGACTCTTTTCAAATGCCAATTCAGCAATTACCAAGTCTGCTGGCGGTTAATTAAAAACTACCATCTCGTTATGCTCAGAGTTAAATTACAAGTGTGAAAACTACTACAGTTTGCAATAACCGACCGCTCTGTACTCTCTGTACTCTCATCAAAAGGAGGGCAGGGATAAATAACTTTTTATTTAACTCACAAAAAAAAATCTCTCTCAGCTCTTTCCTGTTTAATTAAATTCTTATCTTCTCAGAGCTTGTGTCTTACTCAGAGATCCTGAGCAGTAAAGGAAAAATTTGTCCCAAAAATTTTTCTCACATTAGTCGAGTAGAAAAGTGAGAAAGAATTGAACCCCAAGAACAGTGGGTAAAGTGACACCCACCCATGGTTTTGCATGGAGGTCACTGATTCCCAGCAGGGCTTTGTGGAAGAAAACAGCAGGAGGTGAAGATGCAGGCTTTATGAGTTGTAAAGCTTTATGTGGATAAGAAAAGTGTTAGTACTTATTCATAAAGGCTGTTTTAATGAGTGTACTGTTTTACTATTTCAAAGATTCCACTGTCAGAAAAGAGGCCAAACTTCTATCACCATGGTGGATGTGAAATGCCTGAGTGATTGTGAACTGCAGAATCAACTGGAAAAGCTTGGATTTTTACCGGGCCCAATACTACGTACGTATGTACACAGTGAATATTGGGAGGTAGTCCTTGACTGTTTACAAACTACCTCCAAAGATTTAAAAACAACTTAGAGTAAAAGGAACGGGTACAATAAAAATCATTGAAAATGGTTTCCCATTAGAAATAAGGAGGCTGGAACTGGGGTTGTGGCTCAGCGGTAGAGYGCCCGCCTCCCACACACGAGGCCCTAGGTTCAATCCTCAGCACCACATAAAGATAAATAAGTGAAATAAAGGTATCRTGTCCAACTACAACTAATAAATGAATAAATAAATAAAAGAAATAAGGAGGCTGGGGCTATAGCTCAGCAGCTTAGCATGTGTGAGGTCCTGCCTTCACAAATAGACATAGGAAAACAGGAAACCACACAGAGAGAAGATCCTTACATATCAATATGGTGCCAAAGAGAAGGGGTTAGTTTTTTTCAACAATGAAAAACCCGTCACTCTTTATTATATTACCCTTTTTTGTTGTTGTTGTTTGTTTGTTTGTTTCTTTTATGGTACTAGGGATTGAACCCAGAGGTGCTTTCCACTGAGCCACAATCCCAGCCCTTTTTATTTTTATTTTTAAATATCTTTATTTTGTTTATTTATTTTTATGTGGTGCTGAGGCTTGAACCCAGTGCCCCAAACGTGCAAGGCAGGTACTCTGCCACTGAGCCCCAGCCCCAGCCCCTTATTTTTAATTTAGTGTCAGGCTCTCACCAAGTTGCTTGGGGACTTGCTAAGTTGCTGAGGCTGGCTTTGAACTCACCATCCTCCTGCTTCATCCTCCTGAGCCTCTGTGATTACAAGCATGTGCCACCAGGCCCAGCTCCTGTTTCGTTTTTGCTATATGCTCTGTATGAACTATTGACTTATGTATTCACTGTTTATATTCGCCATTGATAGGACACACAGCCACGGCTGTCTTGTTCTCAGGTGTATCCAATGCCTGATTCTGTGGCTGTTCCAGAGGTGTCGCCTAAGTATTTGTGAAAGGGAAAGAGTGAGTTGAGCAGCTGTGGGGTCCATTTTAAAAACCATATAAATGTCTGGGGCTGGGGTTATGGCTCAGTGGTAGAGTGCTTGCCTAGTATGTTCGAGGCACTGGGTTCAATTCTCAGCATCACATATAAATAAAGATTCATCAATAGCTAAAAAAATATTAAAAACAAACAAACAAACAAACAACCACATGGCTAAGGATGTCGCTCAGTGGTAGAGCACTTGCCTAGTATTTATGAGGCCTGGGTTCCTTCCCGGGTGCTGAAGAAAAAAACAAAAAGCCATTATTAACCAATTATRTAAGAGCCTAGAATAAAGGTCAGAATTATGAAATACTTTGAACCCAGTAAGCTCACAKACAAAAACAGGACAATGTAATTTGTTCTTCACATTCTTCCTCAGCTTCCACCAGAAAAGTGTATGAAAAAAAGTTAGTGCAATTGTTGGTCTCGCCTCCCTGTACCCCACCTGTGCCGAATGGACCCAGAAAGTCAAATGGACCTCAGGACAAGAGTGAAGGTACCGTCATGAGCTGAACTGCTAGAGAGTAACTTCACACTTATTAATACTCTGTCCAGCACGATTTATGCAGCTTTAAACGGTGTGCATGCTGACCTGTGAAATAGCCCTGTGGCGTGTTTGCACACAGAGCCCAGAAAATAGGCCCTGGGCTACAAAAGGAATCTATAATCCTTTGTTTCTGTTCACACCAGAGACTTGTTTAGGTGGGAAATTAGGGGAAAGATCAGCTAACTTGCATATCCTTTATTTAACTAGAGCCAGATAAGTGTTGATGGCTTAAAACCAGAAGTTCCAGCCTGGTGCCTATAATCCCAGCTGCTCCCCACTACTCTGGAGGCTGAGGCAGGAGGGTCACAAGTTCAAGGTCAGCCTGAACAACTTAACAAGACCCTGTCTCAAAATAAAATTTAAAAGGGCTGGAGATGTAGTTCAGTGGTAGAGCACCTCTGGGTTCAGTCCCTAGTATAGCAAAATGAAAAAAACAAAAAACTAGAAAACTCTATAGGTAATTTGAGGCCTCCTCAATCTCTGTCGCAATCAATAAATTTGGCATTATTTTATTTGTATTAAATAAATGATTTCATGTCTATTAAGAAAGATGAACCAGGTGTGGGTTCTATTCTGAGCATTGCATATAAATAAAGATCCATCAACAATTTAAAAAATATTTTAAAAAATATGAGGCTTGGGTTCCATCCCTGGTACTGGAGGAGGGGGAAAGCCATTATTAACCAATTATATAAGGCATGTGTGGTGGCACACATCTATAATCCCAGCAGCTCAGGGGGCAGGAGGATGGCAAATTGAAAACCAACCTCAGCAACTAGAATGAGACTCTGTCTCAAAATAAAAAATTAATAAAGGGCTGGGGATGTGGCTCAGTGGTTAAGTACCCCTGAGTTCAATCTCTGGTACCAGAAAGAGAAAGAGAAAAAAGAGGGAAAAAAAAGGTGAAGCAGTTCACATCCTCCTCTGCCTATTGCCCTCCTGGTTTATTTGAGAACTGACAGCAACTGGCCTCTCTGAGTGGAAGAGTGGATGGGCTGGGATGAGTGGTCTTGGAAGTCCCTCTGGCCCTCTCCCTGGTTGTCCCATTTTCCTACAGTCATTTCTTGCTTCAGGGTTCTTAGAGGATAGCCTTGGAGATTCCCACAATGCCTTGCAAGGCTTTCTTGGTCCATAGGTTAGAGCTCCTGTGAGCCACGGAATGATAACATGCCCATGTGCTCTGCGCCTGATGTGCATCATCCCTTTTAGCCTTTACAATACTGAAGCTCAGAGAGGCGGAGCAACTGGTCCAACCAGGAAGTGGCCCCAGAAGCTAAGGAGCAGGGCTGCCTACCTGTCTGGACCACCCCTCTCCGTAAAGCTCCAAGAATAGTATCCAGCAATATAGAAGGAATTCAGTATGTGTTTGTGGAGTGAAAGTAACAGAACTGAGATTTGAACCTAGGTCTGGCTCTCAAAATTGTTATTTTTCCACATGTACCCTACTCTTGTCTCATCATTTCTTTTATTTATTTATTAATTAATTTAATTTATTTATTTATCCATTTATTTATTTGTTTTTTGTTTGTTTATTTATTTATTTATTTATTTATTTATTTATTTATATTTGGTACCAGGGATTGAATCCAGGTGAACTTAACCATTAAGCCACATCCTCAGACCTTTTTATTTTTTATTTTGAGACACAGAGTCTTGCTAAATAGCATATAGCCTCCCCAAGTTGCTGAGGCTGGCTTTGAATTCACRATSCTCCTGCCTCAGCCTCCTCAGCTGCTGGGATTACAGGCGTACCCAGCTTCTCATAATTTCTCTTGTGAGGATGAGCATGTTACATTCTGCATCATGTTTGATAGACAAAAAAAAAAAAGAGGACAATTTCATATAGTTCAAATTAAGATCACTAGTACCCTCTAAAAATATCCCCTCTAACCCTGGGCCAGGAGGGGCACAGGGCTTTCCCCAGGGGTTTGGCACAGCTAGCCTCATTTGAAAAGGACTGACCCCCATGAGGACAGTTGTACAAGGTGCCTCAGGGCAAGTGGCTACCCCAGACCCTTCCCGGATGTATGTGTGTTGCAAGTTCTGTCCCAGACCTGGGCCTGCCTGTTCCTGCCCTGGAAAGGAGCTCAAGGGAACTGTCCACAGCTCCCAGAACTGCAGGTCAAAGACACAGAGCCATGCTCTTGGGTTCCCAGCACGCAGGCTCCACCGACGGGCTCCAATGCTGGGGCAGGGACGTAATTGGTCTTTCAGTCCGTGAACTTTGACTCTGCTTTGGACTGAGTCCACCTGAGACTAGCCAGCTTTGGGCCACCAGGTTATAGGTAGAGGCTCTGAATCAGCCTCACCCTGTAAGACCGTCCTGTGTTATCAGTGGCCAGTGTATGCTCAAGAAGACCTGGTTCTCCAGGTGAGGTCTGACCATGCATTTGAACTTGCTCATAGGAAAAGTCTCCTAGCCCTGGTGCCATTTGAATGGAGGGGTTGAAGGGGCTGTGGAAGGGGAACAGGTCTGGTGGAAATTCAGTCTTGGTCACTGCACAGACCCAGTGTTGGGATGGAACTGTGATGGGGAGGGGGCACAGGGAGCTCTAGACCTGTGGCTGAGCATTAGTTCATTCAAATAACCAGTGTGTTGGATTTTTCTCACTTTCACTCATTGGACAGTGCACAGACCTAACATTAATTATATGACTTTTTTTCAAACTTCCCAAATGCTTTTGATTTGGAGAGCTTGTTTAAAATCCCTCCATTAAAATCTGCACTGAGTCCAGTGTAGTGTGGCGCACACCTGTAATCCCAGCAGTTTGGGAGGCTGAGGCATGAGGACTCTGAGTTCAAAGCCAGCCTCAGCAACTTAGGGAGACTCTGTCTCAAAAAATAAAAAGGGCTGGGGATGTGGCTCAGTGGTTAAGTACCCCTGGGTTCAATCCCAGGTGCAAAAGAAACAAACAAGAAACTTCACTGAATGAACGGCACACGAATCCTCTAAGTTGATCAAAATGCTCCTCCCCAGGCTGATTTCCTGTCACTGCTGGTCCTCCTGACTGTAAAGCCTTTGGGCACAGGCCTAGCCTTCCCTTCCCAGAGTGCTTTTTTGGATACAGAGGGAGAAAAATCCTTCTGCCCTATTGAAACATTCAGGGATGCCCAGGGTTCACAGGGACAATGACCAGATTGAGAACAGCCACCAGATGAGCAGTCAGCTTGTGTATTTCTCTCGGTGACATCCATACGTGACAATGTGGCTATGTCCATGGGGGAAAGCCTAAGCGTGTCTCACAAATGCTGCAGCAGCTCGGGAGAAAGGCTCTTTTCCCTCAAAGGGCAACATGAATCTCCTTCCCCTTCCAAAAACACCCTGTGATTGACAGAATCCACGCGAATGCTTGGTGTTAATCTCCATCCAAGGCTCATGAGTTCTCATGGCCTGTTTTCCTTTTGTTTGTTTCCCCATGATCCAGCGTTTAATGTCCTTTTGAAAGAAAAACTCAAACTCTCAACAGAAAAATGCAAGGAACTCAAAAAAGTATGTACAATTCTAATGCATGAATACTTGTACACATATGTTAAAATAGGAAATAGCATTTTCATATATATTAAGAAAGGAAAATAGCAAGTTACTACTGCATTCCATTAAGGTGTTCAATTCTTACTTGAAAGAAGGTCATTTCTTTCTTTCTCTCCTTTTTTTTAAAAATCAGTTCTGGGGGATTGAACCCAGGGGCACTCTACTATTGAGCTCTATCCCTGGCCCGTTTCATTTTTTATTTTGAGACAGTCTTGCTAGGTGGCTGAGGCTGGCCTTGAACTCTTGTGATCCTCCTGACTCAGCCTCCCAAGTTACTGGGATCACAGGCCTGTGCCATGGTGCCCAGCTTGAATGCAGGTTTCTGTTTTGTGAAATGATTTTCGTGTTCTCACTGAGGATCTAGAGTGCCCATCCCTCTTGCCCCTTCCCGGAAGAGGTGCAGCCCTGCTTTCCCCAGCTTCCCCAGCCCCTCCTTTCACTGCTGATAGTTGACATTCTCATCTAGCACTGAGCTTGATTCTAAGCCTCTGCAAATATAGCATCAGGGTGAGTTTCCATCCCCTGCTCTTTTCCAGACATTGGGATCTGAGTTCCACCCCACCACCATGTTGAAGCAGGAGGCCAACTGTGTGAGGGGAACATGCTTTGGGTGAGGCCCTGCTGGATTAGTGTCCTGGCCCTGCCCTACAGCAGTGCAAGCTTTGGAGAAGTCAGTTCACAGATCTAAAGCTCCCGGTGCAGCTCCCCAGTGGTACCTATGTCCCAGGTTGGATGAGGAGCACAAGACAGGCTATGTTCTCAGCGTGGGGCACAGCCCAGAATTAGGGCTCGGTAAGGAGCTCTCCTGTGTCAGTGCTTGTGACTTTTCTTTCCTCTGACTTCTGTCCCTTGTGGTTGGTTTTTTTGATGTTGTCTGGGTTTTTTTTTTTTTTTTTTTAACCAAGGATTGAACCCCCCAGGGGCATTTAACCAGTGAGCCACATCCCTCAGCCCTTTTTAATTTTTTTTTTTTTTTTAATTTCAAGACAGGGCCTTGTTGAATTGTTGAGACTGACCACATACTTGAGATCCTCCCGCTCTGCCTCCTGAATCACTGGGATTACAGGTGTGTGCCACCTTGCCCAGATGTCCCTGGTTGTCTGGAGACACCTGCCTCCTTGGGTCTGGGGAGCTCTGAATTCTTGGGCTTTTTAGCTCTGCCCCAGCCATGGTTTCCTTTCTTGACTTCTGTCTTTCTCTTGGCTCCTAAATATCCCTGTGCCAAGACCCCTGGATTCAGCCCTCTTCTCCTGGTGCCTTCTTTACTCACCTTCTCTGTGCCATGACCTCCCCAGGACCTCTCCTGAGAAAGAGATCTGAAAGCTCCTGCCTTTTCCTCCTCACTCTCTAACTTTCCCCCTCTCCTTCCTGCATCCTTTGAACAAGTGTTTACTTATAATTATGAACATTTTGTAGGTTACATGGATGCATTTATAATCTGCCCTCTGGTCATTCCCCTGATACCTTGGACTCAGAGTATAATATCCAAGACTAAGCACATCTCACCAGAACCTGCATTTATGGCCTCTGTGGATCATGATGGCTTCTTCCTCTCCCCACTGTCCAAGTCAAAGCCTCAGAGAAATCCTCAGAGAAAGCACACTTCCTACCTCTTCCTAGGGATTTGAATTCGAATTTTTAAAAACCAGTCCCAGGGGTGGGGTACATGTAGCTCAGTGGTAAGAGCTCACACTCAGCATGTGCAAGGCCCTGGGCTCCGTCCCCAGCACTGCCACCCCTTTGCTCTCACCACGGCTGCTAAACCAGTTTGCACTATGATATTTATTTGAAGAATTGCAAAATCCTCCTAAGTGGTTTCTGCCTCCAACTTTTTCTAATTCTAGGTCAGATCTGCAAGAAGAGATTTAGGGTCACTCATTTGCCCAAAACAGGATGCAAACGTTCTCTAAACCAGGAAGACCTGCATTTGCTGTAACCTTATCTCCCACCACACCTCACGTTGCCTGGTGCCCTTCTTTCCCATGGGCCTTTGCAGCCTTTGCAACCTGGAAACCTTTCCACTCTTCCCACGTCCCACACTGTTTTTTTTTTTTTTTTTTTTCTGTTAAAATCCTGTGGTCTTTTAAGAACATCTCCAAAGGCCACTTCAGAGAATTCTTTAAAATAGAATTTTCCTCTACTCCTTAGTTGACAACATGATAGGACCTCAAAGCTCATCTCACCAAATCTACCAAAGAGCTCCAGCAACAAAATGGTTCCTTTGCAAGTGACTTCTAGTATTTAAGCTATGTGTAGAGTTTAAGCAAATGACAAGAAACCCCAGGTAAACATTGCTGCAATCTGCTGTGACATTAGCTTCCCATTTAAACGTAATTCAAACATGATGAAGTAATTCTGATAGCAGTTCACATTTTCTAAAAGGATTTTTAAAAATCTTCCAAATGGCTCATTAAAAGGAACCCTTTCCATTCAGTAAATCTCAGTTCCACAAAAACCCTTTTGTCTCGTTCCTTCAAAGGCGTTTATAGTAGGAAAAAAGCAACCTGCATGTTTAAAATGCATCAAGTGGGACCCGCCGTCCTTCAATCATTGCTTTACGTAAACCTGAAATAAAACCACATCAATATTTTGAATTGGCAATAGAATTAAATAGAAAGTTTGTGATGGCATAAAATCTTTTGATCTGAAGGATTTATGTAAGCCATTTTGATTCTCAGAAGGGCCCCAAGACATCTGTTAGACTTTAAATCTAAAAGTAAATGTAAATAAGCATTTAAATTTCCATGTAAAAGGTGATAGAAAGTGTGTTTATTGAAGCACTTGTCTTATACTATACACTTTAATTACTTGAGAGCAGTGGTCTGTACCTAACAGTCTCCTTAGTGCCTGGAAAAAAAGTAGTATTTGCATATTTTTCAAAACACCCTGTTTGCTAGGTGTGGTGGACCATTCCTGGAATTCCAGCTATTTGGGAGGCTGAGGCAGGAGGAGCACAGGTCAGAGTCCAGCCTCAGCAATTTATCAAGACCCTGTCTCAAAATAAAAAGGGCTGGAGCTGTATTTCAGTGGTAAAGGACCCCTGGGTTCAATCTCCAGTACCAAGAAAAAAACCAAAAACACTGTTTTCTTATTTTAGGTTTCTAGTAGAATACAGGCCACTTTGAGAATTGAAGTATGTCTCTATTTGGGCCCTGTTTACAACTCTGTGTGTGCCTTATCAAATCACATATGCAGCCTCTTGATCTGGTCATTAAAACCACTCAGAAAACCAGGTGAGGGTGGCACATGCCTGATCCCAGTGGCTCTGGAGACYGACCGAGGRAGGATTGTGAGCTCAAAGTCAGCCTCAGCCACTTGGCGAGGCCCTAAGCAACTCAGAGAGACCCTGTCTCTAAATAAAATATACAAAAGGGCTGGGGATGTGGCTCAGTGGTTATGTACCCCTGGGTTCAATCCCAGTACCAAAGGGCAGGGGGTCAGGGGGAACCTGGTGAATTTTTGTTCTTTTAAATTGGGATTTTTTTTTTTTTAATCAGAAAGACACCGGACACAGCTTTTCTTTCCAGTGATGCAGTGGGCACTTAGTCAACGTGTGCAACTCGGGCTCTAAGTCATCTTCTATCAAAGATAGAATCGTGGGATTTGGAGTTGGTAGGGAGGCAGGAAAACCTGCGCCAGCATCTGGCATGAGGGGCTGGAGTCAGGTGGTCATGTGATTCATCGTCCCAACCGGGATGCTTTGGGAGTGAAAGGGGACACTAGCCAGAGGGATGTGGGAACAGGGGAAGTAAGCTGGGACCATCATGGACATAAAGAGGGCGTGTGCTCACCCTGGACTTGGGGGCAGTTCAAGGGTTGAAGTGTGTTTATGGACACACTCCATCTGGGCGGGGTGGGGGCTGCTGCATTCAATACCCAGAGGGTGGCTGGCCCCAGAAGTGTGTTCTGGGTGCCGCCTTATTCTCTCCTGGGCATGTGGCTCTTTGCTGCCAGAATCTCAGTTCCTTCTATTCTCCCAGACTGAATGCTCTCTTCTCTTGCACTTGTCCGGCACACACACCGCCGTGAGTTTCTCAAAACGTGTTGCATTTCCCTGATTACTAGCATTGTTGATGACTTTTTCATAAATCTTGTGACCATTTGCATGTCTAAATGTCTATTTAGATCTATGAATCTTTTTAACTATTTTTTTTTTTGCATGAATGGGGATTAAACTCAGGGTCTAACACATTTTAGACAAGCACTACCTCTGAACTCCATCTCCAGCCCTTTTTATTTCTAAACAGGCTCTTCCTAAATTTCCCAGGCTGGCTTCAAATTTGCAATCCCCCAGCTTCAGGCCTCAGCCTCTGGAGTGGCTGGGATTTCAGGTGTGTGCCACCCCACCAGGATACATTCAACCTCCTTAAGCAAGAATGTAAGTGCAGGAGGAGGCATAGTTTCAGTTCTGAAGAAACTTAAAAGCAAGCTCTGGATACAAAAGATATGTGTGTCAAAATTATGAATGGTGCTAGAACCAGACCACCCAGGTTCAAATCTCAGCTCCGTCACTAACTGGGACAAGACACCCGACCTCTCTGTCTCGATTTCCTCATCTATAAACGAGAATAACAATGGTCTTAATGGTGGAGAGCAGAGCCAGGACGTGCTGTGCTCAGGGTTCAGCGCATGCTTAGCATGCTCAAGGGCCTGGATTCCATCCCCAGTGCTGCAAAAACAAAGGGGAAAAGAAAAAATACAAAGCAGAGTCGTGATGACAAGTAATGAGATATTTAAATATAAACAGGAGCTATTATTGTTAGCATGATTGTTATGTAAAAAGCATGCTATTTAATTATCTTCAACAAAAAGCAACATACTCAGTGAAAAATAACAAAATGAAAATAGTATCTTTGGTGTTGAACTCCTAAGTGCTACAGAATGTGACTTCTTGGAGTGCCTACAGGTGTATTTATATAAGTAAATATATGGATATAATTAAAGATCACTCTTGGTAA